TAAATCATATAAGCAATACAACTGAGGAGAAGCAGAGGCTCTCCTGCTGGCTGAAATGCCACCAACTTTGTAGGGAGTTTCAGGGGCATAGTCTACATGCTGGGGGTGGGTTGTTGGTAACAAAGCTACCTTTGAATCACCCGTCCTAATTGGAGCTTCTAAAAGTAATTCCAGTAAACTCACTGGTTCAAAAGTAGACTCCAATGGAGTTGTTTCTTCTGTCTGTGGCCAGTGCTCTATCTGGGGTGAGTGGACATTTGTTCACGTCTCCCCAGGAAAAGTCACATGACAGACAGTGACTCTAATGAAACTCTAATGAAAGGTTTATCCCACCAAGAGCTTGGTGTAGCTTTACAACCTGCCACTTTCTAGATTCCTGTATCTGGGGAGACATAAAAGAAATGTCTATTCACTCCAAATAAGGAGAAAGTGTACATGTCAAAGAAAGATTCCCCCAAGCCCTGCTTGACGTCTGAATGACTGTACTAACGTCACTTACAGGAATATGGGTAAGATGGTCAGCTGTACTACGGAGAAGGTTCATCCAGTCAATTTTGTATCTCTTAACACAATTTAGATTATTAGAATTGGAAATGGTGATGGGATTCTATGGGAGTGCCTTCTGACACTTTGTCTCCTTTCCAATTGAAAACTTTAACGGCTGCATCAGCGAGGTAGGTGGTGCATGCCTGAAGTCCCAGAATTTAGGAGGTAGAAGCAAAAGGATCAAGAGTTCATGGTTATTCGCGTGAGTTTAAAAACTAGCCTATGCTACTTAAGAACCTATCTCAAGGGAAAAGCAAATTTCCTCCACATAATAGGCTCTGCAAGCCCTCAGCACTTTGCTTGTCTACACTAGAGTCTACTGACCTGTCGACAGCCACTTCGTCAGCTCTCTATTGCCTTAGCAAATGCCTGAGATAATCTACTGTAGGAGAAAGGCCTGGGGCAAGGAAGCTTAGTAAGTGTCACTGGGACAGGAGTTTATGCAGGAACCAGCTCCATGGGGACAGATGGCCTGAACAGCCCAGGTCTACCTTGGGCCTGGTACTCTGGCAGTGTAGTCCTGCTGTGGTCTGAAAGTTGTCACTGCTGTGCCTTCTTCTGCACTTACTTCCCGTCCCCACAGTGGTGTGGAAGGAGGGTGACCTACCAACAAATGAAAGGTATCCTCTGGTTGGCTATTGTCTCTGTGAATAGTCTCTTCCCCCAAAGCCAGCCTCATTTCGACCCACAGAAAAAGGAGAAAAATACTGATGAGGGAGGTGGAATAAGGGGTTGGAAAAACTGAGGTCATGTCTTAGAACCTGAAAATTAAAACAGAGACTTCCTTATCCTTATCGACTAGAAGCCACAGCCAGGAGGCATGGCCTTTTTCCCTTTCTCTCTCTCTCTCTCTCTCTCTCTCTCTCTCTCTCTCTCTCTCTCTCTCTCTCTCTCTCTCCCCCCCCTTTCTCTCTGCCAGCTCCAGCACCAGTATATCCCAGAGTCTCCTTCCCCCACTCCTTCTACCCACCATCTCTAAATTTAGAGCTTCGTCTGTCCTTTTCTTGTAGGATGAGGGTATTTTCAGTACTCTCAGGATGATGTTGCAAGAGAGGCACCAGCACCGAATAACTCCAGTATCGAAGAGATAGATAAAACAGCTCCTCCCTGCCGATGCCAGGGGCTTACCCATCACCCTGTGACGACCTCCCCTTCCCATGCCTTCTTCCCTCTCAGAAAGCAGCTGGAGGGAAAAAGCTGTGAGCCTCTGCAAGCCACTGAGTGGAGTGGATTCAGGACATTGGTAGCCATGGTGGAACGGCAGGGGCACCCATCCATTCTCACAGGGCATACTTACAGACATGCCCAGGAAATACCCAAGGGTTTGAAGGATCTAAAGGGTGCTCACACGGCCTAGAAGAACCCCACATTGTGACTGGTCTTGGACTTTTAATGCATCAACTTAGGAGAGCCCCTGAAAGGAACCTGATATCTTCCACTGCTCCTCAAAGAATGGGAGTGGACATGTTCTTGACCTTCCCAACAAAGCCCCCGCCCCCCCAGGTGAGGGCTGATGGGCTAATAGAAATTCTAAGCGTTACTGATGAGCCCAAAAGCTGCAAGGTGGATCTACACACACCTCCACTGAACTCACATCCATCCTCCCTGATGACACTGAGGCAGGTTCCAGGGCTCTGGTTTGGTGACATGAAGAAAGACATAGTGTGTTTTTGAACTGCCAGTTGACACACTTGCCTCTACAATGTGGCCTCCCAGGAGCTCAGCACTTCATCGTGGATTAAGCTAATTAATTTTCCCAGCCAAGAGTGGACTTCAGAGGGACAGAGCCTCCCACTGCAGGGGGGGGGGAAATGAGTGGGGCCGAGGGAAACGTGTGTGCTACGTCTAATTAAATTGAGACTAGTTGAACTTGAAACCCAGCCAAACCTGAGGTCCTGGGGCTTTGCCAGCTTCTGTAAGGGAGGCTAAGGAATGTTCTAGGAGATCTTGAGCAAGAAAGTAAAGACTCATTTGGACTCTTGCCTGCTGCCCTTTCCCTACCTAGATCATTGAAGTTGCCACCTTACCTAATTCTGCTCTCTCTCTCTCTCTCTCTCTCTCTCTCTCTCTCTCTCTCTCTCTC